GAAGACGGTGTTTCGCTTCTCTGTGTCAGCAGACATTGACCTCCTCAAGGAGGTTGTGATGATTGCCCCTTTCGAGGCAGCCTACGGTCAAACTGGTACTCGATGGGAAGAGATTTGCGAGCACATGCGAGTGAGCCACGGCGACACCTTGACCACAGCCAGCTGCAGATAACGATTCGACGATTTGCTTTCGGCCCTTGTAGTGGACATAAGCTCTTCTATTAATCCAGCAACTAGAGGGAGGACATCGAGTCCATCGCTCATGGGGATGATGGGAAATTTCACGATTGCAAAAGCTACAGCATTGTCGAGTTTCCGGATGAAGTTTCCAGAAAAGTCAACGAGGAATTCGTCGTTTGCAAAATCACTCTAATATGCTACATGGATGTGTTGATTGCTTGTCAAATTCACCCTGGCACTCCATAACCTGTACAAACACAGAACAAAACGACGTTTCAGGTTCAGCGTCTATATAATGGTGGAGGACCTATTCAACACCACATCACACAGCACAATAATACCACGAACCAAGCAAGTAGTTGCCATGGTACAAGAGTTCGTGCGCAATCATCGCGTAACGTGTGCAAGGATGACAGCTGTCGATGTCGTCATGTACCTAAGGGAAATGTGGGTCATCGACTCAGACGTCAACGACGCAACCTCCTACAAAGCGGTACTCCGGTCCGTACAGAGGTACCTAAGCCGGTAGGGAAACAAGCGAGGATAAAAGAGGGGTCATCAACGTACCACTTGTCGCGCAAGAACACACTGGCGCGGGACGCATATGAGCAGCGTATGCCACCGAATTCGATATCAACCCAACGGTAACACGTCGTCTACACAGATGAGTCGTACATCCACCACCACTACAAGTCCCGTAACCACAGCTTGCACGACCCGTTGAACGCATTGGACATTGTGGCAAAGGATAAGCACACAGGTCGGAGATACTAGAGAGGTTTCATAAAAGTCCTTTCGTTTCCTGTTTAGCTTCCGGGGAGCTGAGCAGGATACGAGGGGATTTAAATTCTAACGGTTTCATCAATATTTTCCTTTCCAGATATAGTGGTAAATCATTGAAACGACAGCACGCCCATTTCAACAAACGCTCTGTGGTTCGCCATGGTTCTTCTCTCTGTCAGCGACATCACACGACTGCTGCTACTTGCAACGACAAAGGCCTCTCGTGACATGCTATTGCATCTGTACGTTTATCAGTACATTGAACCGCCCGTTATTCAGAATGTCTGCTTCTCGCTCGACGGGTATGCGAATGCAAACTCCATTTTGGATTTCCGATTCGACGTCGTTGGCATAAAGCGACTGGGGTACCTCCTTGGCTTGCCAGCTGTCATTATCACTACCAATAACACTCGTGTTTGCCGCGACGAAGCCATGTGTGTGTAACTCAGCCGTTCAACTTTTCCTCGTCGCTACCACGACATGTCACGAATGTTTGGGCGTTCCCGAGCGCGTCTGTGTGATATCTTTTCGTATCTTGTGCACGACATATTTGGCCGGTGGAACCGAACATTGTTTTTGAACACAAAATTGCTCCGGGCCCGTACGCACCAATACTGCCATGCTGTCGCAGCTAAAGGCTCTCCGTTGGAATGTGTGTTTGAATTATCGATGGCACTAAAGTTTAAACGAAACGAATACTGTATCTGCGACTGGGGATGGATCGAATTTGTAAAAGCAAATGCACAGCGGACACAAACGATACCATTGCCTGAATTTTCAGGCGGTATTTGCTCCGGACGGCATTTGCGTACACTTCTGGGGGCCAGTCGAAGGTCGACGACACGATTCAGCGATGCATTCAATGAGTGGCTTGCTGCGATCATTTGCCCAGTACCCCGATGTTTTTTCCTCAAAGTATATTTATGGAGACCCCGCACACGGTGTGACGAAATTTGCTGTGAGTGGCTATCGTGGAAACAACTTGTCGCGGGATCAACAAACTTTCAACAAATCGATGAGCAGCGTTCGCCAAGCTGTGAAATGGAATTTCAAAATTATGAAAACGCTCTGGCCACACATTTCGAACAAAAACATGTCCAAAATCATGCTATCACCGGTGGCAAAAGCCATCTTCGTTGCAATGTTGTTGGCAAATTGTCATTGCTGTAATTTCCGCGGAAATCTTCTTAGTCTGTACTTTGATCTGCTGCCACCAACACTTGAAGAGTTTCTTGACACAGTTGAAGTTGTAGATGTGTAAAAATGTGTATAATAACTTTGACACTCTGCAATGAGTAGTTATTCATTGCGTTAGATGCAATACTACAGGATTATAACCAAATTTACAATTTGTTAACAAGGCAGTCAGAAGGGTAGTCAATGTCGACTGTGACATTTGGACTTGTTGCGCCTGCATTTGCACATGCTGTACCTGAGCCTCACGATCCTTGGTACGATCCTCCATCTCCTTCTCAAGCATGAGCCTGCGAAGCTCCAATTCTCTCTTGTTGCTTTCGTTCATCAACGACAATACCTTCAACATCTTGCCGCCGCCGCTCGATTCGTCATCCTCGTCCTTTGCTCTTCGCTTGCCTTGGGATTTCATGGCCTCTTCGCGGACGATTGCACCATTCTCTTCGACATTTGAGGCCTCTTCAATTTCCTGGGTCATTCGGCGGTCCTCTTTTTGATTGGCTTTGTCGACTTGTTTGTAAAGATCATCCAACAGGATTGTCTTTTCGGTGACATTCTCGGGCGCGCCCGAGGCACGTCGAGATGCATTCTTGTTGTCGCGATTGTCCCGCAAGAGTATAAGGAATCGGCCTTGCGCCTTCTCTCCGTCGAATTGAGGACGGTCAAACAAGGTGGCCAGGTTGCGTGCGACAGAGTCCCATACATCCATTATCTGGCCGCGGCGGGCCAGGAATGGCATTTCGGCACTGAATTGGGTCAGCAGTAGCACGTCTTCGCGCTCGGAGAACACGCGGCGTTTTATAGGTGTTGTCATCCGAAGCCGAAGGGGAAAAGAATGAATTCCTTTCCGAAGTTCGTGGGAAAAGAATGACAATCAACTTTTGTGAGTTTCCTTAACGGATTCCGAGTTTTTTTAACATGCGGGGGGAAGCAAAACAGGAAACGAAAGGACTGTTATGAAACCTCTCTACTGCTTTGTTGCTGCCAGTCTTGACTCCCCCACCATCTACAGCCAAGTCCTGGCGCTGGACATTTTTACTGGTGGGATGTCAACGCGCCAGAAGCCAAAGGATTACCATGGGATGTTCACTCATGACTACATGTGCGGTGGCTTGCCAGGCTACTAGATGAACTGGTCCAACGCCCTGATTGTCATGGAGAACGCTAAGTATCACAAAGGGCGACGGATAACACACAGCAGCGCAAAGGCGCACTGTTGGAGCTTGCAGATTGTACGGCATCCCTGTGTTGGACACCGACTACAAGAGTGTTGTTTGAGCCAAATAGATGGCGTACATTGATGCCGACATTCTGCCAGTGGTGGTGACGATGGCTAAAGGTTTTACACCACCCACCATTCCGAACTTCAGTCTATTGAAATGGTGAGGGCTCTTGTGAAAGGCGATGTTGGTTGCTAGTACACGGACTTGACAAAGTTCCCTGAGGTGAAGGAACTGCTCAAGGCGGCGTTTTTAGAGATGACGTCCCATGCAATTTAAGGGTGTGTCAAAGTCGCCGAAGACAAGTTACAAAGGTTACATGAGCATCTACTTCAGATTGATGCACTCGAGTCGGAAGCAGAATCCTCTGCAGAAAGCTGTAGCACCGACGACGAAAGTGATATTGAATAAGAAACACTTTCAATGTGTTTCATCTCATATTGCACTTCATCCAAATGTATACCGTATTACCTATGTCGTTCTAGGGGGTTAACTCCTTCCGGCTTCCTGTATGAATTAATACTCTAAAACACGACACGAGGAAAATATTTCACAGGTATTCCTTCCGCGGTAGCACAAGCTCTAACCATTTATAAAACCTCTGGGAAGCGTATAAAGTATAGAGTTAATTCGATTTTCAGAGGTAAATTGCGCGCGAAAACAAGAAGCGAGCTCTTTCACCACGGCACGTCACAACCATTCGAGATGGACACCCCAACAGTTCCAGGGGCTGGAACGAAGCCACGAGGCCGGCCACGACTCTAGCCGGGCCCCACCAAACAGCCGAAGAAGTTTCGGAACGACCTCACGTCGTACGAGATGAAATGGGCTGTGATACAGTCCTTTGATGAGGTTGGTATGGCGGACACACTCTCCCGGTACTACCCGCGTCACACTGGCTGCCGGCTTGGCTCAACAAGGAAGAAGGTGTATCAATGGACTCAAAACCGTGTTCACATTAGGGCTAAAGCAACTATTCCAAAGACTTCCAGCTACTACTGTTCCCGCTCAGTTGGTATGGCCACATTGTTGCCTATGGCAACGGAGGAGAACCTTGCTCAATGGGTCCAGTCCATGCGAGCTGATGGTGTCCATGTGACACCCCGGATGATCCAAGTAATGGCCCTGGAGATGGTCATTGATGCCAGGCTTGACGAATCCTCTTTCCCAGCCAGCTGGTCGTGGTTTCAAGGCTTCAAGAAGCGGCACAAGTTCGCCATGCGGGCGCGGACACGGACCGGCCAAGACACGAACGGCGACGGAATGGCAGCCCTTGCGTCCTTTGAGGCCCACATCTCTCAAGTCATGCGGGACAACAACATCGAAGTCGTGTTCAATGCTGAACACAGTCAACTATGAGTACCTACCAACAACGACTCTCAACTCAAAAGGAGAGCACAACGTCTGGGTCAAGTGTAGCGGTAAGACCAAGGATCGGGCCACTGCAATGGTCATGACCGATTCAACCGGCAAGAAATATCCACTGTTTAATGTGCTCAAGACCCAAGCGTCCAAAATCAAGGCTGTCGTTCAAGAAAATCTCTCGCAACGGCACGGCTTTGGCAAGACGTTGTGGAAGGAGGTTGAGCCTCTCCAAGAAAAGCTTGGCTGCCGCATCTATGGCAATCCGACCGCCTGGTGGAACTCTGAGATTAGCGTTTTGTTCTTGCGCTACCATTTCTCCTCTCGTCCCGACCCAAAGAAGAAGATCCTCCTGTTGTGGGATGACTTTTCAGCTCATTTTACCGACGAAGTCCAGGCGTGTGCGGCGGAACTGAATGTGGTTTTGGAGAAGATTCCTCCTCGTTTCACTTGGGCTTGCCAACCCACCGACGTTGCGTGGATCCGTCCTATGAAGGCCCATTTACGTCAAATGTGGCTGGACAGCATACGCCGTCAGGTCCTGAGACACAAGAATCGGAACGAGTCGTTTCAACTCCAAGCATCAAAACGCCCAACTCTGCTTCAATGGATTACTGGTGCGTGGTCTGGCTTATCAAATTCGATTATATTGAATGGGTTTGCGAAGTGCAAGATTGGTTCTGTACTGGAAGTTGTCTCTGTGTCAGAAGAGGCAATGTCTTCGGATATGTTGTCGGACCTCTTGGCACGGTGTGCCATTGATGACACCATTGATCCACAGGACGACATGGACATGAATAATGACGAGAAATGAATTGTTTTCTGTTTTGTTTTCTATCGCAAAATGTATACCTCAAATTCCTGCCAAGTTGGAAAACCTTTAATATTTTATTGATGCGTGAACCTTTTGTCGGAATCCATGAATCTCTGCTCATTTGAAATACTTGTCGATTGTATACCTAGAACGAGAAAGGAATTTTTGACTAAGAGTGTCGTTTGTTTGTGACGTATACCTGGGACCCGACAAATTGAAAGGTGATTCGATTGGAAGGTCCGACAAATATTGTGTTTGGGTTGGTCAAGCGACAAGATCTTTTGATTGTGATAATTGATTGGCCTATCCACCTGTCGGGGGAGCAATATTACACGAAGATTGCACATGTACAGCCATCTATTGGACGAGAAGACTGGGCTAGTGAAATGATGTAAAAAATAAATGGAGACGTTTCGCATCAATGGAACAACTTCATCAACCAGCAAAATGAGCGCCCCGCCCCCACCGTCCCGACCAAAGCCACCATCCAAGGATCTTTTCGATCCACCTCGACCACGCGAACGTACCAAACGTATCAGCGGCAGTTTGTTCAGTACTGCAAGCAACAAACCGGCGTAGACCCTCAGACAGCCACACCTGCCGTCTGCACGGATTTCTTCCACTACCTATACAGCCAAGGCAAAACTGCCCGAACTGTCGACTTTGCCAAAACAGCCCTTGTGGCATACTTTCACGACCTGAAAGTTATTCCAAACCCAGCACGTGACGTGGATTCCAAGCAGTATGTGGTCGGACTACAAAAATACAACAAAAAACAACATCGATGACGAAAAAAAGGCGCACCCATTGTCAGTGTACGAGCTTTCATGTTTATTGAATGCTTTTTCTACCTCTCGAATGTTTGTGGGTGGGATGTATGGCTTTTTGATTTGTGCCAGCTAT